AGGAGGGAAGGTGAGGTGAGACATTGAGATGAGGTAAGACACGGATTAAAGTAAAGATTAAGGTAAAGATTAAGGTAAAGATTAAGGTAAAGATTAAGGTAAAGATTAAGGTAAAGGTTAAGGGAAAGATTACGGTAAAGATCATGGAAAAGATTAAGGTAAAGATAAAATAAGATAAGGTAATATGCGATGAGATGAGGATCAAGGCATATGAAATAAAAGTTACCTTAAACTTAGACGAGGTGAAATGAGATGAGATGAGATGAGATGAGGTGAGGTGAGGAGAAGTGAGTGAGGTGAGGGTGAGGTGAGGGTGAGGTGAGGTAAGATATAAAAAAAGCACCACAAAATAAAGCAAAACGTTTAAATCATAATAAAACAAACATTTCAATTTCGGAAATTCGAACACAGTTAGTTCGAACAATACACATTTGGATTAAATAAACATAGGTCCCCCATTTAAACGTACTTGACCTACTCTGCACCTCTGGTAGGGTCAGAATTTACTTTTACCGGCTTTTGGCTCCCAACTTTAAACTCTTTTTAGTTTTAGCAAGAGTTTCACGGCACTTGTAACAGTATTAGGTCACTTTAAGGGCCGAAGATAAGAGGTGTATCGAGAGAGCAGGAAACCCCCCCCCCCCACCAAAAAAAGGAATGAAGAGAGATGAGGACGGGATAGGTTTGAAAAATGATGAAATGGTAGTGGTTTAACGCCTCTATCAACACTATTAGGTAATTTATGAGTCGGACCTTCGAGTTTAACGTCCATCTCCGAAAGGACCGAGCCACATCAGAAATTCGTGTGAAATGCCTTTCCCAAGGAAACAACGTCGGGCCAAGCTGAGGCTCGAACCCCGAACCTGCAATCTCACGGTTACCAGTCCGGTAACCTAACCACTAGGCAAGAGGTGTTTAATAGGTAAAAACAAGAGTAAACTGCAACAGGGCATCCACCCCTTCAACTCCTTACTGTCTACTTTCCCATTCCCTTCACCTTACTTTCAACTCTATCTTACCTTACCTCAACCTTACTTTCACTCGACGTTACCTTGAGCTCTACCTTACTTTAACTCTACCTTACCCTGAACTCTATCTTACCTTACCCCAACCTTACCCTGAACTCTTCCTTATTTTAACGCGACGTTACCTTGAACTTTATCTTACTTTAACGCGACGTTACCTTGAACTCTACCTTACTTCAACTCTACCTTACCTTCAACCCTACCTTAATTTAACTCTTCCCTTACCTTGAACTCTATCTTATTTTAACTCTACGTTACTTTAGCTCTACCTTACTTTAACTCTACCTTACCTTAGCTCTACTTTACATTACTCTCCACCTTACCTTAAAATCTACCGTAACTTAAATCTACCTTACCTTTCCCTTCATCTTACCTTCAACTCTACCTTACCTTGAACTCTACCTCACCCTACCTCTACCTTACCTTACCTAAACTCTACCTAAACTTGAACACTTCTTCACCCTACCTCTACCTTACCTTACCTAAACTCTACCTAAACTTGAACACTACCTCACCCTAGCTCTACCTTACCTTTCCCGACTCCATTTTCTCCGTCTGCACCAGCTTGCCCTGGTCTCCTCGCCCCTCCTCCTCGTCGTAAACCAAGGTGTGTGATTGGCTGATGATTGATGTCGTCATGGACGACTCGAGGGCCATGGAGTGCGTGTGGCTGTGTGTGTGTGTGTGAGTGTGTGTGTGTGTGTGTGGGGGGGGGGGGGGGAGATGGATACCCAAATACATTACTTCAACATTGTTTACATTCGTAATATTATTGATATCATTGTTAACCTTCATAATGTGTGGTTGTTGTTTACAATCTTATATTGATATCATTGTTGACTTTCGTAATGTGTAGTTGTTGCTTACATTTCTAACATTGATGATATTGCATCGTGATCGATATCATTGTTAACTTTTAACCTCTTCAATGCTGAAAATTTTCCATCAACATCTGTACCTACAAGATAAACTGTTAATTCAAGAATATTTAAACGCAGAGAATTGATTTATAAACAGCAAAAGGACAAGCTGTAATTATACCAACTAAAACTTCTTTTGTCAACCAGATGAAACAATGTAAGTGGAGAATACGAGACAGAACATACGTCTACTCAGCAGTGAAGAGGATACTATGTGGAAGCTATTATTTGCCCTTATCACATAGATGTCACAATTAATTTTCACAACGTGGATGTTGTTGTATACATTCAATACATCTACTATACTATTGTTTACTTTCTTCACGTTAAAATATTTCCCTGGGAAAGATACCTCAATTTGACTCCGCCTCCTCTCCCCTCAACTAACCAGACTTTATTTTCTCACTCCAGAAACTTGGGTATCATCAAAGTATTAAAATATTTTACTGTCTAGGTGCATTTTGAAAGATTACTTAAATTAAGCTTCTGCAAACTGTGAGACAAACATAAAATAATGTTTTGAGACACAAAGTCAAAATCAAAATGAAAACAAAATAAATGTTAATATAAAAAAGAAGAAGGTAACCAAATATGCATGCAAAGACGAAAGAAAATGATTAAAATAATTCGTTTTTATTTGAGTGCACATAACGCAAAAACTAAAAAAAATGAAAGTACTGTTGTATTCGTTTATTAGAACACAAACAAGGGAATTGATTAAAAGAAAGGAAAAATAGTCAATGTTCAAGAGAACTAGATCTAATCTTAAAAATTAAATATACCATGTGTGATAAATCCAAAGGGAAGCAAAGTAGACCATTGAGGTATAAGTTATTGATCTAAGTGTAAGAAACTTTGGAATTAAGGGTGAGGATTTGACATAAGAGAGAGGGAGAGAGAGAGAGAGAGAGAGAGAGAGAGAGAGAGAGAGAGAGAGAGAGAG